CCCAGGTGTCTACAAGGGCTTGCACCTCTCGAGCACAGCGTCCCCTTCCCCCGCTGCCCCGGCTCCTCCCACCACTACCCCGACACCCGCCCTGCTCCACCCCTGCACCACCAGCTCCACCTCCGCTACCAGTAACAACAACGGCACCGCCCACCCTGCCAACACCACTACCACTACCACCGCCACTCAGGTCCTGCTGGGAAACAACAGCCTCCGTCTGGGAGTTCCCACCGGCAAGCGTGTCCACGCCCCCCGGACGCTGAGCGCCACCATGTCAACATCCGCCTTAAAGCTCGCCCACGCAGCCGCCGCCACCGCCAACTGTCAGAAACCCAAGGTCACTACGGCCTCGGCCTCGCCACTGGACATGGTGCCCAGGTGAGGAAGAACGTGTAACCAGTGTGAGGACATTAAAAGGTGACACAAATGAAGGTTTATGTAATAGTCTGTTCAAAATGTTGCCGTTAAAAACTGTTGTTAAAATATTTATCTGGAGTTTGGGACAATAGTTGTAGATGTGATGTATGTTTTATGATTGACAGACCCAGTGAAGTGTTCTGAATATAATAAGATAAACCTGTTTACATACTCTAAAGACAGACTTTGTTCCAACAAACACATCACAAAAGAAAATATGTTAAAGTCCTGGCACTGTATTCAGCTTACGGTTGTACTGAGGCAAGTTTTACCAGATATACAACTGCTAGAGTTACTAAACAGAAGAAAAGCCTCCTGTTTGTTTCCGTTTAAACTAACAAATATTCAGCAAGTGCTTATACAATGACACTGGTAGAAGTGGCTTCCTTATATTGCCAAAAAGCACAAATTGGAAAGACTTTTTTTTAAATGAGCATTCGCAGCCTTTGATTATATTATGAGCTTAAACCTATTGTGTTTAAACATAAGAAGATTAAGAATAAACTTATGTTTATTAGTCGTGGAGAACAGAGCTTAAATGTTAAATGCAGTTATTGAAACATTGATTGTTCAGGACATTATAAGCTTATTTCCCAGGGCATATCTTTAGAAGAAAAGATACCAAGTGACCATTAAAGCTTTTTTTCCGCAGCAGGAACTTCAGGAAATGTAACGATGTTCTGCTTTAAGTTCTTGGAGCTAAACTTTGGCACTTTATCTACTTATTTATTTAAAGATTTATAGCCCAGGCTAGTTTGCGGCTCGCATCCTTAGTCGAGTATTAATACAAATACACAAAACTCAACAAGAAAATCTTCCAAAACAGTCCGCCTTACCTTGACACCCCACATAAATGCTTCCACTTTAACGTCTTACAAAGGGGGGGAAAAAACATTTGCAACGCAGCACTCAAACTCCTTTTTAGTTGTTTATTTTGGATGGTAACACTTATGGATTTGACGACATCTAGAGCTAGTTTCTCTTTTAAGAAAGAACACAAGACGAGGAAAACACGACACAGAATTAGAAAAACTCCCTTTGTGCTCTCCTATTTTAGTCCAAACTCAACACCCCACACCAACACCAACGTACAACTATAGATGAGCCGTATGTCCAACCGTTGCCTAGTTAATGGTGTATGTGCGTAAAATACAGCAAGAACCTCGTACCTAAGAGTTTCTATTAATCCAGATGGAGTTCCTGCAGTGGAAACCGGACGTTATTTAGCATTTTAAAACTGTTTCTTCTACCATACTACTTGCGTTTATGTCTGACCGCGTTGTGTCGTCTTCTGTCCGCAGGGAGAATCACGAACAAGACAAGCCAGCACTGAACAGTCTATCAGAGAACACAATGGCCATGGAGGTTACGTAGCCTCCCGTACGCAGCACGGGGAAAGGCGTGACTCCTTTTTGTTGTTGGGTTTTTTTTTTTTTTAAGGTGCTATGCATCGTTCGTTAGTCGTGACAGCAAGTGGTGGCGGACTGAGCACGGCAAGGCTGGGTTTCCATGGTAACTGTTTTGGGACTTAATTGCAATGCTCGTCTCGTACAATTTTTATTTTTTCTCCCCCCCCCATTTCCCTATTTGTTACTGTTAATAAGAGATCGTCTGTAAATTCTTAATATGGCAATTATATGTACAGTACTGCATATTTGTAATATCCCCTTCCCCCCACGCCCCCCCACGCCCCTGTTCTTGTATATAACATTACTTGAATACAGAACTGTCCATTTGTGATGTTTTGCACTCGAGATATAAAAAAAAAAATCTAAATTAAAAAGAGAAAACGACAAACTGCAACTGGTGCGAGTATGAGGTGTGAAAGTTGTACCACAGAAAAATGTATGTCATCACATGCATGGTGCGGAACCTGCTGTTTGATCTATTTATTGTGCCGTGTTTACAAAAGTTTTCTTTTCTTTTACCCCATTCATGTTTGTTTTTTTTTTTTAAATCTTTTTTTTTTTTTTTTAATACACTGTACCCCTCACCGGTTCCCCGTGCTATAGTCAGTGTTTAGCTAGATTTAAAATAAAAAAAACTGTATTTTTTTATTTCTTTTTGGATGTTGTGAACATGGCCGGGAGCTCGCCCGTTTTTGTTGGGCGCTCTTCCCCCCTGATGTTCCCCATGTGTCAGTCATGTTGAATCCATGGAGACGTGCGTTCACAGATTCAGGCGCAGGGCCGTAGATGACGATGGGTGTGAATTTGTTGTAGGCATCAGTTTGTCAGTGGGTTAATCAGTTTCCACAGAGCTCTTCCATACGTATATTATTCCTGAGACAAGTAACAAAACAATGGGGATGAAGACTCTTTCCCAGAAGACTTTGCTGCTTCTGACTTATCTAAGCACTATATAATTTGTTTTTTAATTGATTAATGCTGCTTTTTTATGATTTTTGGCCTCTGGTTTGCACCAGACGGCCTTATTTACTTTTTGTTTTCTCTAAAACATGTTCCCACCCCGCCCTCCAACCATCTCTACTTATCATTTTTTAAAATAAATATTTTTGTATCTCCCACTTTTATTTGAATTTTCCTCATGAAGGACTTCATTCTTTTGTTACTTGTTGATCTAAGAAAAAAAAGAAACTAAGGGAGTTAAAAAAATAATGCAGTAACTGACATTTTATCATTCCAGCTTCTACATAATGAGGAAGAAAACATGTATTCATTGAAAATACTTTTAAAAACTCTCCAGAAGGCTGAAAGGCCATGAACCACAAGTTATCGGGTGCCTTCATTTGGGAAAAAAAGAAAAAACCTTTAAAAAAAACAACAACAAAAAAAACTTCGCTCTCTTCTGTGAAGAGTTTGGTACTGAACAAGGCTACTTGTAGTTTTTCTTTGTCTGTACCACAATCCCAATGCCCATTCCAATGGCCCAGTTGATTCATGAGTTTTTGTTTTGTTTTTGTAGACCCTTCCTATACACACACACACACACACACACACACACACACACACAAACACTACACGGGAAAGACTAAGAATCCTCTTGAATTGTCACAAAATGAAATAAAAATCCAGGGCATTATGTGTTTTTTGACCAGTACGTCTCGTTCTTTGTTGTCTTTAATGTCTCCCTGAAGTGAACAGTTTTAAATGCAGTGTACCGCTGTATGCCTTTTGGCTGCTGGTTGGCGGTGAATAATACACTCCAGTCCCAGCCTACAATGGTGTGATGTATTTAAGGGTTTTGTTGCGTGACGTGTGTCTGTATCCAGGTAAGGACATGAAATGTGTCGTTTTAAAATGTCTGTTAAATAGTGGAGGTGGGTGCAGTCTGTTGCTGAACATCCCTGTTCTTTAAGGAAAACTAAAACACTGCAAATATTCAGGGTCTAAAACCAGAGAGGTGTCTGCCGTCTCACGTCAGTTCCCACCTCTTAATTTGACCGTCTTGACTTCATTTCTGATTCCCCATTATCTCTGTTTTGTATCAATAGTTTCGTAAACAAAACTGTGTTCTCTAAAATGTGGACATTAAAGTCACAAAGTCAGTGCCTGCCTCAGTTCCCTGGTCCAGTTTTTGGCCTGAGGGAGACAGACTTTCTAGACCTGTTTTATAAGAGGATGCTGAACGTCCTGCAATATAAATGCTGCAATGGGAAGTAGTTGAGCAATTACTAGATACATGTATAGAAGTTTTCAGTGTTTGGGAAATTAATTAAATATGCACCAATACTTCAGGAGGGGCCCTTCCTCAGCCTGGATGTATTTGGCCCAGAAATCCCACTACTGATCTTTATATAAGAAATCTATAAGAGATCTACAAGAGCCATGTGTGATTTAAATTTTGTCCTTCTCTTTGTTGTTGTGTTCACATCTAAACCTTTTTTATTTATGGACTTAAAATGGATCTGCAGGTAAAAGGAAGTAGAGAAGCTAATAAATGTAGGTCACGAGATCAAAGAAACAATCCTGTGTAGTTTTCACAGGGTTTTTCTATAACGCACATTTTGCTGACATCAAGGTGTTGTGGGACTGAGAGAGGGCACTGATGTAGAAAAGGATGGCAGATGAAGAATCTTCTGTTACTGCTGCATTGCAGTAAAAAAACTTTTTTTAGTTAAATAAATGAAAGTTTAGTAAAATATAAATTTTCTCCTTTTCAGAGCCTGAAAGCCAGAGTCAGGAAAAAACTACCTGTTTACCTATGGCTCTTTATTCATTGAAGCAAACACAAATTGGGTAGGATAAGGGATGACATTTAAATGTAAATTCTGCTTCTCAGTGGAGGAAAAGAGCAAAGTCGATAAGAGCTGGAAAATAAATGAGCCGAGCGGAGACCAACTCCCGAAGAGAGATTGCGTTTACGGTGCGTCTGACTTGATCATATTTGGATCTTCACCTGTAATTGCTTGTTCCAAAAAAAGGTAGAAAGAGGAGGAAAAACTGTCAATGCACAAAGTTTTGGGAGATGTAAGAGGAGCTGATTGTTGGGGGGGGAAGTGTGCGTCTCAAGGCAAGAAGGTAGAGTTAGACCTGCATTAAAGGGTCTTAAAGCAATAAGCCTGTCCCAGTTTTAATGAAGTGATACAGGCGGAGGCAAACGTACAAAGAAGGTAGTAGTTCGGGTGTTTATCAACGTGTATCTCAAGTGCATTTCAGCTTCCTAAATTCAGTTAACTGAACCAGTTCTGAATGGTTTTTAAAATTGAGTTGACGGTTATATTGGCTACCTGATCCTGGCAAGATGGATTCTTCAAGACCAACTGCCTCATAAGGGCACCGCTTTGGTCCACATTGAAATATGTCGACCCTTCGATAGTTACTTTGCTGCCGTCACCAAGTGCTTGCTCTTGGTAGGAACAGTTGGGTGTTATAATTTTAAGGAGTCGGTGTCCTGAAACAACTTTTGTTAAGAATTGGCGCTATACAAATATACTGAATTGAAACTTTATACAAGTGAGCTGCTGTGGGTTCATACTGTGAAGGTTGATTTCCAGTTACATGTGACAGTATGAGGAAGAATGTCAGGAGTAACTCTGGGAACTGTTGCTGTGTCAGCAGCTACTTTCTTCAACCTTGACAGAAAATGTAAGAAAGAGAAATGGAGAAAACAGATGTACAACCCTCAATGTTTGATGGAAAACACAGCAGTGAGTTCTTGTCATCGAATGCTGTCAAAAGCAAAATCTGAACTCTTGAGTGCCACTATAGTCAAACAGCCTGAAACCCCTCCCAGGTGATAGTTGAGGGATCCTGAGTGATGTTGGACTCGCAGACTAGATGTGTAGAAAGCTCTAGATGTCTGTTACTATGGCAGCACTGCCTCTTAAGCCTCGTACAGACGTCCGTTGCAACAACTGGATGTATAAAGAGCTGAGAGGTTGATCCTGTTCACCTTTCGTTCCTCAGCGGCCCCGGTTTTAATGAAGTGTTGACACCTTCACGTCTGTTGAATTCCCACACGCTCGATCGAGGTGGGTGTTTGAAAAGTTTGCATTGGCTTTTTGTTTGATCAATTAAAACCTGAAAGGACCTGGTACGAAGAGAGGACTCGTATTTAACATATTTAACAGCACATAGATAAGTCTGTTTTAAAACAATAGCCACTCGTGTGTCCACATGTACGTGCACTGAAACCATTAACAGATCTCTTCTTAACCTGCTACTATAGTCAGAGATGGGGAACAAAATCTATCCACAGCATTATCTCTGAGAAAAATACATTTATTTAAGGTTTCAGACAACAAATGCACAAATCCAGAGTTACTGTTTCTCTGCTGAGCTGCAGGGAAGAGATGATAACACAAATTAAATGTTCATTAAAACAGTATTTTATTTGTTTACTTTGATTCCAATGAATAAAACGTCATTAAGCAGGAGTTTAAATTATGTGTCGGGGTAATAAATTCACAACAATAAATTATTGGCACCCTTTATAAAGCATTTATAAGTTGGAACTAATGGTTAAATAATGCTTTATAAATCAGTTATCAGTCATTAATAAAAGCTAATTGGTTGCTAGGTTGTGTACAATCCCTTCAGCTGGTGTTTCTCTTCCAACATGACACTTCCTCCACAGATCATGTGACCGCTTATCTTCTGCAGAGCATCAGGATCCAAAATAATTTATTAACTTCAAAGTATGGTTATAAAGCTTTATTGATCATCTATAGCTGCAGGCAGTCTTATTAGCAATGAGAGGAACTCATGAGCTTTTATTATTGACATTTGTAACTGCAGACCTCATGAGCTATAGAGTTGTTGGAGCAGAATAAACACCAGTCAAAGGGATTCTTCACAACCTGGCAACCCCAAAGTTGAGCATTATGCCTCACAACCGATCTATAAGCCGTTATAAAATCAGGTTTAACCATTAAAAGCCGTTGGTTACAACTCTTAAACCCTGCAAACACGATGACTTGGAGAGATGAAGTGTCCGTTTATTATCGGCAGATTCTTCTGAAGGATTCCTCAGGCAGGGTTTCATTTGTCTTTTTAAACAAACTCAGAATCTAGTTAACATCAGTCCGGACCTTTCTCCATTGAAACTTCAGACCTTTTCACTTTGTTGTTGCTGACCGACGAGCAACCTGACGTTCTGTGTTAAAATGCAGCTCGACCTGACCTGAGTTTAGGGAAAGAGTTTTATTATTCACCGCCCACGGCCGTATTTCCCCAGATGGTCTGGGATTCAAAGTATTTGTATAAAATAGAATTAAACAGCTTGCGATGCGTTTGACCTCCAGACCTCAAGCGGTTTCACAGCACCTGAGACGTGTATAACAGATGAGAAGGGAGATTTTATTGCTTTCTTTCTCTTTTCTCCTCCCTTGAATATGATTGATTTATAGAGGTGCGTTCAACAAACCAAATATTCTCTGTTTCTATAAATCTACAAACACTGTTCCTGCTGCCTCAAATACTCACTAGTGCACCAAATGTGGATTCATTCGCTGCTGAAAATAGTCCTCAACAGATGCTCTATTTCCTTAAGTTTGAGTAATGTTTGGTAATAACTGCAGTGCCCAGCTGTTTTAAGAAATTAATGAGCTTTTAAAAAAACTAAAATATATTTTTTAGGTGTTTTAAAGGTCAACGGGACCAATGGTCTTGGGGCTGAGGGTCACAGACGGATCATTATTGAGAGACAGACCAAGGTCTTTTGAAAGTGTTTGATAACAATAAGAAAATTATACAGTAACAAGCCTTATCCTTAAACCTTTTTTTAATTGTAAGCCTATTAAAACTTCCTATGAATTATCTATAGTCAGTGTTCACAGACATCAGTGATGTCCCTTGCTGTATAAACTCGTAGCAAATGAGAGTTTAGTGGCGCCGGTTGGTCCTTTGAGCGAGGTTATTTTCTATAGAGCTCAATCAAAGCCAAAGAGAGCGCAGCACAAAGATGCTTTCACACCCCGGCCTCATTATCTGTGCTCTTGGCTTGCATGTAAGCTGACTTTATCTCTCCCAGCCACCTTCGTATCTTCATCTACAGTTGTGGCTTTCAATTACCAGGGGCCTTAATGAAGAGCAGACATACTCAGTGGGGACATTGTGGACTGGCAGGCTCATTAGGGCTAATGAGCCAGAGGGCAAACACGGGAAGATCAAGGTTGTCTGCAAAGGCCCGATCACGCTGACCAAATAACTGTCTGGTTTCTGAGCCCACTCAAAGTGTGGAGCATCGGACTCTTTGTTCTTGGACTTGAAAGTGGAGTGTCCGTCGCCATCCCTCTGCCGCTCCAGTGATGCTGCGTTACATTCGTGCACGCTGTGGATTGTGTGTTTGGGAATGAAATTGTTAGTGTTAGTGTTGCTCTGAGGTTTCATAATTTAATCAGTAAACCAAAGGAACATTTAAAATATGTTCCACCGACGCGGTCAATAACAATGCCTGATTTATCTCAATATGTTTGCGCTGTGGAGTTCCTTGAAGACATAGTTACAAAGTTTTCGAAAAGAAATGCGTCCCAGATACCAACTGAGACGATACCAGAGAACAGCTGCCTTTCTTTACCTCCACAGTAATTTATGATTAATAAACACATTTTCTTATGCTTTACAGAGCAGTTAGAAGCTGTTGAT